AGCAAGGAGCCTGACGCGGGGCTCGAACTCACGGACCGCGAGATCGTGACCTGAGCCGAAGTGGCCGTCCAACTGAGCCACCCAGGCGCCCCAAGCGTCCAACTCTTGATCTCAGCTCAGGTCTTGATCTCAGGGTCTTGAGTTCAAGCTCTACATTGGGCTCCATGCTGGGCATGAAGCCTATTTAAAAAACAAAACAAAACAAAAAAACAGAGTTTTCTAGGGGGTAAGAAGCACTAAAGACAAAAGGAAAACACGAAGAGAGTCCCAGGGTGGGACAGAGGGCCATGGACAGCCCTGCTGAGAAGGTGACAGGTGAGTCCAGACCTCAAGGAATGAAGACCAACCCCATGGACCTTTGGAATGTACCAGAAAGTCTACAGAGGGAGATGGCCTGAGGGTGGGCAGGGAAGGCTGGGCTGGAGACCGTTCCTCAGTCTCTGCCCTTCCTCCTCCGCCTAGCCCTGGAGGACACACTCATCATGTGAGGTGGCTGGAAGAATCACCTGCACTATTTGCTTATTTTTCTGCCTCCCATCTTGTCCAGTGCACATGGTTGGATCCGCTTACGTTGAGGACAGATGTGATAGATACAGATCATACTATGTACTACACTCACCTCAAGGGATGGCTGTAAATTTCAAAATGAACATCTGTCTCCCGAGTGTGTACCCAAAAGAAATGACAGCCTGTGTGGTCATAAAAGCCCCAAACTGGAAATAACTCAAATATCCATCCACAGGGGAATGGATGGTAAATTATGGGACACTCACACTATGGATTACTACCCAGCAATGAAAAAGACCGGATCGTAGCTATGCATGACAACATGGGCAAACCTCACACATGTAACAGTGAGAAAAGATACCAGACGTGAAAAAGCTCACTTTTGTATAAAAGTGCAAAACTAATCAATAACTGGGGCACCTGGTGGCTCAGTCCGTTGAGCATCCGACTTCGGCTCAGGTCATGATCTCACGGTTCGTAAGTTCTAGCCCCACGTCGGGCTCAGTGCTGTCAGGGTGGCGCCTGCTTGGGATTCTCGCTCCCTGTCTCTCTCCGCCCCTCCCCCACTCACGCTCTCCTCTCTCTCTCAAAAATAAATAAAACATTTAAAAAAAAAACTAATTGAGGGGCGCCCGGGTGGCTCAGTGGGTTAAGCGTCTGACTTCGGCTCAGGTCATGACCTCACACTCCGTGGGTTCGAGCCCCGCGTTGGGCTCTGTGCTGACAGCTCGGAGCCTGGAGCCTGCTTCGGATTCTGTGTCTCCCTCTCTCTCTGCCCCTCCCCTGCTCATGCTCTGTCTCTCTCTGTCTCTCAAAACTGAATAAATGTTAAAAAAAAATTTTTTTTAATAAAAAAAATTTAAAAAAGACAAAACTAATCGATGGTCACCTTTGGGGAGTGGGCATTTACTGGCAGGGGGACACAGGAGCCTGCTGGGGCAGGAAATGCTCTGTCTTCATTTGGATCATGGTTACATAGACGTGTTCACACGTGAAACTGCATCACGTCCGACACCCTTTACTGCATGTGAGTTATATACCTCACAAAAAAAGTAATCTTTTAAAGACTGAAATAAGTTACAATTTAAAATTATCATAATTTTTGAATCGCAATAAAGAAACAGAGTGTGATAAATACATGTGACAAACAAACAGCAGGTCCTCAGTAAATATTTGCTGAATGAAGGAGTGAATAAATGAATGAACGCATGCATGCATAAAATGCCGAAATCCCAGCACCATCGGGGACCGGCCATGCAGTGACCCTGAACATCTCTTTGCATCTAAAGCCTCGGCTTTTTACCCGAAACACTGAGCTCAGAATTATCAACTGCAAGGCTGCTGTCCAGACTAGCCGACACATGTGGGGAGAACATCCTGTCTGACCAAGTCCCTCACGTGCTACCCAGGTCGGCCGCCTCTGACACCCACCCCACGCTGTCTCCCCTCTCCCCCGGACCAGGACCCTGGAGCCCCAAGAACCAAAGGCAGCCTCCCAGAGGGTGAGGTCACACTGGAAAGCCGGGCCTGGCGAGTGCGGGGGCCTCTGCCGTGCACACAGAGGGCCTATTGACGTCCTCCCGAAACTCCCCACAGCCACAGCCAAGATGAAGGCCAGACCCAATTGCTCAACCGCTCTGCCTCGACACTCAATGCCCGGTGCAGGGGCACGGGCCAGGGCCGCCGAGAGGGCAGCTGGGGGGGCCAGGCTCCCAGGGGCGCTTGGGAAGGGATTTTCCGCTGGCTCCACGCCAGGAGGCCTGGCACAGAGAAGACTGGAAGACAGGATGGCCGTGGTGAGCAAGGCACACAGCGGCAGAGGGGCTGGCCCAGCGATCCACACCTTGACGTTCTCTTCCGTGAGGCCCTTCTCCACGGAGTCCGCCACGTTCTGCCGGATGCGATGCAGGAATGCCTGGGGGAAGAGAAGCAGGGAGAGGTGAGCACCCAGGCCTCTGATCTCTCCGGGGTGGCCTGAAAGGAGGGTGACACGTTCAAACGCCACCTAGGACACAGGAGGTACCACAGTCCAGGAACTTGGGTGGGGAATAAGGAAAAACCTCCCCGGCTTCTGCGTTAAAAAACACACAGGAACATCCCTCACCCCCATTCGGTCCACAAACGTTTACTGAGCGTCTCGCACACCAGACCCTGTGCAGACGCACCCGCAAAGCCTGCCCTCAGGGAGACGCGCCCCCATCTGCTTCCTTACCCATCGCTCTCCCTCTAAAACTAGAATTCATTTCCCTTTCTCTTTTTCCCCCTTTCTCAAAAATTTAACTTCCAGGGGCTCCTGGGTGGCTCAGTCAGTTACGCGCTATGACTCTTGATTTCGGCTCAGGTCACGATCTCACAGGTTCATGAATTCGAGCCCCAAATCGGGCTCTGCACTCACAGTGTGGAGCCTGCTTGGGATTCTCTCTCTCCCCCCCTCTCTCTCTCTCTCTGCCCCTCCCACTGTCTCCCTCTCTTTCTCTCTCTCTCTCTCTCTGTCAGAATAAATAAACTTAAAAAAAATTTAACTTCTAAATCATAACACATTCACATGGTTCGAGAGTCGAAAATATAAAAAGTCAAAAATACGACAAGTCTCTTCTCCTACACACTGAGCCCTAAGGCATCGAGTTCCTCCCCATCCCCCGCACAGGAACCACAACTACAAGTGTCTTCCATAACCTTCCAGAGAATCTTTATGCAAAAGCAACAAACACAAATACTCACAGATACACACACACGTACATGTATTCTTTTTTGTTTTAATGTTTATTTATTTCTGAGAGACAGAGAGACAGAACATGAGCAGGGGAGGGGCAGAGAGAGAGAGAGAGAGAGGGAGACACAGAATCCGAAGCAGGCTCCAGGATCTGAGCCGTCAGCACCAAACCCAACACAGGGCTCGAACCCATGAACTGTGAGATCATGACCTGAGCCGAAGTCGGACGCTTAACCGACTGAGCCGCCCAGGCGCCCCACACATACACGTATTCTGACTTTTCTCCTTTTTTCACACCAAAACACAGCAGCATCCCTAGGACGTGCTGCACCTGCTCTTCCACTTAGTACTGTCCAGAGATCCTTCAGATCCCTACACAGACAGCATCCTCGTTCTCTTCTACAGCTGCCCGGAACCCTGATGTTTGGACGGAGCACAGCCATTCTGCCACTTTTCTCAGGGGCTCAGAATAGAGAAATCACTTCTCTCCCCTGTGGTGTGACAGACGATGAAGGCAGGGGAGCGTCGGGGACTGTGGGGAGCTGGCAAGCACGTCCCATCGGAGGGGACGGCCGTGTCTCCCTTCCAAGCGTGGTCAGGTGGGGAGGCGGCGGGCCCAGCACTGCCAGGTGTTCTGGGATCTGTTTTCAACAGAAGCCAGAAAGTAAGATTTTTAAGGCAAAGTCTGTTTTTAAATCTTGGCAAAATATCGGTGGCTTTCGTGGGGAACCGGGTTTTAGGAGTCAAACGTGAAAGTGGGGGCACCAGAACGGAGGGGCGCGGCCATGCTGATGAGAAATGACGGCAGCCTGGCCCCGGTGTGGGTGGGGTGGCGGGGGACAGACCTGAAGGAGGGGCGGGGGGTGGCCGACACACCCGGGGATACCGAGGCCAGTCCCCTCACGGCAAACTCTGCCTGGTCGGCCCCACTCTGGGACTTGGACCCAGGCTGACCCGGCAACAGCCATGTGACATCCCCTGAGGAAATGACTTCACGGTGCTGTCGCGGCCACTGGGCCACGATGAGCTGGGGTGGCCTGCCAGCTGCCCTTCCTGCCACAGCTGATTACAGAGTGGCGACTCTGCGAGTGAGGCCTGGGTGACGGCACCGTGTCCCCACCGCAGAAGCCGGCTGCAGGTTAATCAAGAGTGCGTGTCGCGTGACCATGCTTGCCCGGGGAGGGCTCCGAGCGGCGGGAGATGGAAGGGACACCCAGGATAGAGGACAGCAGGGGCAGGCAGGCACAGGGGAGGCTGGCCTTCCACAGACGGCTGTGAGACCCGTTTCCATCACCCGAGGGACATCAGTGGCTGTCGCAGGGCCCTGGCCACCGGCAGGCTTGGGTCTCCCGGGAGGTGGTGCACTGGTGGCTCACACAGCCGGTCACGGAGAGGAAAGTCGGGGACACACAGCAAGGCAGCCTCACCCAGTCCTCCCAGCACGTTTACATCCCCAGCCTGGATTCCCCTGAAGACTGGACAACT